GGCGACCTGTGATTCGTTGATGCAGTCAGAAAACTCCTCGACGTGTGTGACACAAGGTTAATCGGATTATCCGAACCGGATTCTTCACCTTCGCCGAATGGTTTGATTAATAGGGACTTTACGCAGCCAGACCGATAACGGTAACGATAAAGGCTGGTTTTCATATATCGTAATTCGTCGGCGATGATCCCCGACGCAGCTTCCCGATGGTCTATGACAGTCTGCGATGAAAACCGGGTCATCGGGAACCATCGGAGATCATCCCCGATCATCGCAAAAGTCAAAATAATTTGACTTTCCCGACGCTTCCCGACGAACAATAGTAAAGAGAACAATGGATCAGGAATGTTCTGTCAAAAGTGAGTTCATTTGAACTGAAGGGAGGGTAACAGTTTTGCAGAAAAACTGGGATGCTTTCGATAGTACTGGGAACATTAAGGGGGCTATAATTCCTAGTTTGATTCCTAGTCTTAAGTTTGTGTTTCATCATTCTTTAAGGTGAATCATCGTGAATCTTCAGCTATGTCATGATCATTACATAATTCACTAAACAGAAATTTTCCCAAGAAAATTCATACTGGCATTTGCCTCTCCTCTTTCATCTTCATTGTAAATGCAGTGTAATGGCTTCTTCTGGAGCAATATTTTTCTGACGGGTGCGCGGGGAAAGTTTCTTACTTTGTTGTAATGAATTTTCATTTGCAAATATATCCCGAAATTATCAATGTGTTGCCCATAAACGTCAATGTGTTGATCATAGATCGATGATAGTATCAAAAGTTGACTTTTGGCCTTTATCAGTAGCCATATTCCCAAACTTTCATCAAAATTATTGTTTTGGCGCTTCAAAATTGTTTATACCATCGGGCATCATCCCCGACCGTCGGGGATGGTCCCTGACCATCAGGAATGCTGTACATCGGGGATCATCGCCGACGGGTTACGATATATGAAAACAAGGCTTAACCTTAGTGCGTCATCGCCCTATTGTTTTTGGAGGGACGCCTACGCATTTGCATATTTGGTATTTTTTCGCGGGGAGGCCTCTTCCGTTCCCGTCCTGCCCTATTGTTCCTACAACCTTAGGCCTGGTTGAAACGTCGCGCTTCTCATGTGCCGAACCTAACTGTGTTTGGAGCGACACTTGAGCATGTTTGGCGCGACTCCCGTTTCAAACGTCGAACTTAATCATGTCGCGCCAAATGGGTTTTAGGATTGTTACATGAAGTATCTTGGTTAAGGCGCGCAATCTCAAATATTTGTTTGAAATACATGCGCCCTCCAAGAAAGAAATGAGTTCTGGGAAGGAAAATAAATTAAATATAATTATGCATTGAGTTCGGACATGACAAGTTCGACGCTTGAAACCGTGCCGTGCTGGAGCCGTGCAGCTCGGCAAGCTCTGCCGATCCAAACTAGTCTGCCGCTCCTAACTAAATCTGCCGTACCAAATTGATTCAAACGTCGCGCCCCTCATGTACTTAATTCTCGAGTTAGGTTCGGCACATAAGAAGCGCGACGTTTGAACCAGGCCTTAGTTCACCCTGGCTAGCGTTCTGGCAAAACGTTAGAAAATTTGTCTATTCATTTTTCGTTTGTTCAATTTTTCTCCAACTTTTCGTTAAACATGACGTCTATATCAGCTGTTGTCAAGACACAAAGGTATGATTCTTCAAATTTACGAATTTCTTTCTCTTTAATCGAGCAGTAAGGGCCATATCACTTTCTTTGCTATCATTATTTTCATTTCAAAACAAAAGTGAATTTTACTAAAGCAACCTTTTCAAATAGGTCTAGATTAAAGGGATTTAGGGATTTCTAGCAACAAAATAATGTTGATATTTGTAAACTGGACCCTATTACAGTCTTTTTTTAAAAAACAATTTTATAAGAACATGAGCCTCAAAATTGGTCAAAAGTTAAGAACAAATTAAGAACAAGCTGTGACTAGCTACTGTAAAATGAGATTTTGAACAACGTTTTATCTCAAAAACGAGATTTTTAGCCATATTTTGGTGCTTTTTCGGTGAATATTCAAATTCAAACACGGCGACAAACGAAGGTTGTCTCACGCACTTTGTTGGCAAAAGAGGCTTGAACACCTCCCCAGAACGAAAAGCTATAAATCGCACTGCTTATACCATATAAATTCAAGAACAAATTAAGAACAATCCAGCCTCAGATTTTCGAAAAAATTGAGAACAATCAGCTTGAACTCATATTTACTGGTTCTTATAAAAAAAGATTGTAATCATGTTGACAAAAAACGATTTATTGGGGAGAGGGGGGAACATTTGTTCTTTCTCTAAAGCTGGGTTTTTGCTAAGAATTTTTTCTCAATCATCCTTACTCAGCTTGACTGCTCTAAAAAATAGTTGGATTTTTAGCAAAAGATTTAAATGGTCGAAGGAGCATGACATTTTGATGTTTCGAGATGTAAACGCTTCTGAAAGTTGGATGACAAAGCCAGGGAGTATGGAAAGAGGAGATGGTTGGAAGCAAATAGCTGACAGGCTGAATAAGATTGAGTCTCCCAACTTTGAATGCACAGCACGGTCGGTTAGGGAGCACTTTCAGACTCTAATCGAGAAAAGAAAGGTGGTAAACCGGGAAGAAGAGCGAGCTAGCGTTATTTCGCCAGAAATAACAGAAGTTGACATTTTGCTAGATGAGCTTCTTGAAGTGTTTTCGTCAGCTGCATTTGATCAACAGGCAGCAGAGAAGGAAAAGTTAGGTAAGAGAGTAGAAGATGTGGAGAAGGCAAAAGAACTACGACAGCAGTTATTGGAAACATTGGGGGAGACCCGTAAAAGCAGGGCATTTTTTAAGACTTTTCCACTGGTGGGGCATTTGAGAAAAGGGCATATAGATAAAGGCAGAATTTACAGATAAACAGGCTTTCAAAAATATTCTTAAAACATTGCTATAGACCATATAACAAAATCACTGATCGCTAGTTTATAACTAAAAGTGTCCATCTTTTCTGAAAAATTTATTTACAAATTGACGTCTGCTATAAGTTTCAAAGTCTGGTTCTCGGTTTCTTCGTTCTTTTGCAGCAAGAAAATGAGCAACAGCAGCTGTTGGGTCATAATGAGCAGTTCCATTGCCATTCACGCAATGAATAAGCGAGAATTAATTGTATCATCTGTCATTGATACTCTTGCATCACTGGCCACGATATTGTGATGCGAAACAATGCGTTCTGTTTGCATCGAATGTGGTGATAGACTCATAATGGCAGCAAATATTTTGTGCACAATTCCAGTCGTTATTGCTACTAACTTGCGCAAACGAACTGAAAGATTTGAACCGATATCATTGCCTTCTGGGAGAAATTCTACATCTTTGATTTTACTCCATTGCTTGCAAACTGTCATCAGCCAAGTTTATTTGCTGCAAAACTGTAAAGATTTCCAGGGTGTCACCCATGAGAGATCTAAGCCAAATGTGCTTTTCGTCCCAAGTCTTCAAGAAACCACTTGCCTCTGCCTTTTCGTTACGGTCCCCATTTACTTTTAGTTCATTCCACACTTCCTTACATGCGGTCATATTAGCAAGTATGGCCTCAACGAGTTGGAGAAAGTGCTCTGCAAACCTCACTTCATGATGTCTCGGAAATTGTTTTGCATCTTGCTTCACTTGTTTTAGCATTTTTGTGTTCTCTATTGACGTACGGAAGTACTTCGCGACTCCGGTGAGCGAAGATTTCCATATTTTTAACTCCGGCACTGTTTGAATTATAGACTCAACTGCAAGGTCAGAACGATGGGCGCAACACCAGAATGTGAGAATATTTCTGTTACATTGATCACTTAGACGCTTCCAGAGTCCTGAATTGCACCCAATATTCGCAGCTTCTCCATCTGTGGTTATACTCATCTCAAAGCTTCGTTAACTGCCTGCAATAAGCCAAGAGAGCCAATGCATGATCATGAACTCTGTGTTGTATTCACCATTTGGCGCATAACGATACGACAGCTTACAAATTTGTGGTCCCGCATATGCTTGCTTACGCTCCCGTCAATCTGTATACTGAAAGCAACACACTGGTCGTACATTTCCTTTGTTTTTTTTGCTGAACAACATAGATTGCTGACAACATCTCTCGGTAGTAGACCGGATCTCTGTAATGCAAGTCTGCGTTAGCTGGGACAAAATCTGGCAGGACAGCATCGGGTCCTTCATCAGTGACGAGGGCAACAAGTCTTTCGGCAGCAATTTGTGCCAGTGATCGAGCGGGCCAGGAATGAGCGGAAATTGTTTCCTGAAGACAATCATTGTAGACATCGTTAGCCAATTTTATTAAAAAGCGTACCGCATCTGGTTTTTTTTTGTTAAACATCTCAACCATGGATGCTTGAAATTTTTTTCTTACCAAGCAGATTCCAGCTGTTGTTGATTTTTTGCTGCTTTATGTATTGAAGAATGCAGGTGGTCTACAATCAATTTGAGTCTGTCCTCTCCATCTGCTCTAACTCCTTCATGGGCTCCGACAAAGGTTGAAAAGTGGGGGGGGGGGGCCAAGGGAAAATTTAACACCCATAACAAAAGATTTTGAAAAAAACTCTATTGTTTTGCAAAAAAGTGGGGGGGGGCAAGGCCCCCCTGCCCCCCTTCGTCGGAGGCCCTGTCCTTGTGCAATAGCAACTGATCCATTCTTTGAAAGCTTTTTCGCTTCGTCTTCGTGCTCTTTGCATACTTTGCAACGTACATGGATGCGCTTTCTCCCATTTCTTACTGCTTCAAATTCCTGTAATTCAGAGAATTGTGCAATAATGCCTGTCAAACTCAGCTTAATTCCATGATAATAATGACTTGAGACACCATTTGTAGAATTATCAATTTTCTGCTCTTCGTAATTTTTATCCAGAGCAGCAACCTCTTTTTGTACTTCTCCTTGTGAACTGTCTTCTTGTGGACTGTCTCCTTCTGGACCCCGAGGAATTGTCTCCTTGAGGTGTTCCTTGAGTATTTTTGGAACTGCTTTTAAATGACTGATGACATCGCGATCAGAATTATTAGGTGGGATGCTGGCTTTAGGCCAAATGGGTACTCTTGTACCCTCACCCTACTGTTGCTGTGTATTAAAAAAGATGTTATTTTGCTGCATTTGCCGGCAATAGTCGTTGCTTGGTCTTTTTTCCTTTTCGCATTTCTTTCCGCCCTTGGCATCTTCTTTCATAACAGCTCTAGCAAGTGTAAAACAAAATTCTTTGCTTTGGGTTTTAAAAAAACATTACACTTACAAAACTGAGTTCGTTCAGCAGCAGGTACTTTTGCATCGTTCTCGTGTGGCGCCACGTGCTCTCGAGCACAGTGCGCATAGCTTGAAATATGAGTTTTCCAAATTTCAGACTTTGTGAATTAGAAGGGGAATCACCTATAGAAGCAGCAGTTCCGGGGAAAAATGAATTGAAATTTGAAACCTGTTCAATGAAGATTTCATCCACAAATATCTCAAATAAAGTAAAAAGTAAAACGGTCACCAAATCATAAGGGCACTTAAGTGGTGGGGCAAACATGTTCAACTGGTGGGGTGATGAAAGGGGCTGGTGGGGAATTTCCCCACCACTTTATACTGTTAGAACACAGGGTTCCCATTCATTGCAGGACATCACATGACAATTGCATCATTGCGCTGCAATTGCATCAGCTTCTGTAAATTGTATTATTCTTAGGGTATAAAAGGGGTGGCTTTATAGTTAGGTTCAGTCCTGCCGTAAGCTTTGTCGAACTCAGTGTACCTTGTCGCTAGCTTGAAGAATTGTGTTTGCCGTTACATTTTCGTCGTTAGCCGTTTAAGATTTCTTTAGTCGTTTGCCGTGAACTGATGAATTAGAAGAAGTGTATAGAGAATTGGATAACAGTTTTTGCCGTATTTATCGTGTACGTTTCTGCGAACGATCTACGAACTCGCATTTGTGAAACCCCCTGTTGAAGTGGTTTTACAATACATTAAAAAATGCCCTGCGTAAAAGAAGAAAAAGGAAGCAGGAGATGGCAAACAAACAAAAGTTGGAAACACGAAGTCGATTGGCAATGACACCTTCGCATTTCTAGAGAAAAAATTCGAGAGGATGCAGAGATAAAAAGAGAGGAGCTGGAATTGAAAAAAAAGAGATCGAGGAAAATGCAAGGCAAAGAGAGTCAATGATAGAGGAGCAGAGAAGGGGGGATGGGGAGGGATTAGGTGGGAGAAATTGGGAAAGGAGGTTGGATTTGATTTAGCAGCATTTGCAGCAGCAAAATCAAATTATGTTGCAGATGCTGCAAAATCAACAACATCATAGTCAAATGCTAACAGACATTTTGAGAAGGCTTGAGAAAAATAATTAGACAAATGATTACTACTGTAAATTCTACGCGCTAAACTAAAAGCCATTTTGCTGCTAAATATACAAATTAAACGTGTCAACATTTCAAAAAAATCAAGATATCAAAAAGATAATGCTTATAATTATAATTATTGTGTCACGTTTGTCATTATTTCCTCAACCTTCACAAAATGTTTGTATGTCATTTTCAGTTATCTACAGTTGTTAATCAAAAGTTTTTATATTCATATCGTATTCTGTATTCAGTTTCAATGTCATACTTTCCTTTGCCACGATTCTTTAAAATTTAACTAGATTCTGTCACAAAAATATCGTTGTCTGTGAAAATTTTATCTGTTTTTCAAGGAATAGCAAAGTAGTCCTCGATTTGAGGCGGATCTAAAACAAAATACTCAGATGTCATGCTTCCATGTAAGCAGCATCTTGCATTTTTAAGCAGTGTATATACTCTGTACATTTTGCCAACAGCACTTAATTGTATTTTTAAATTCTTTTTAAAGTCAACAAAACAAAAACAGTTTATGATGTCTCCAAAGAGCCATTCGACGCTAACTCTTACTGAGCACATTCTCGCATTCCACAGCTGCTGCTCTGCTGTTAGTTGTGTCCCTTTAAATGGTGCTTGCAATTGGGGCCGCAGCGGATATGCAGGATCCCCATATAGGCACATTACTTGGCCTTCTGGAGAAACAGAAAATTGCTCAAGGAGGGGGAGGAGTCCTGAGTTTCTCAGCATATCACTGTCGTGGCTCCTCCCTTCGTAAGGCCCAGAAAGCAAAGAAACTATTCCATCCGGGATCGCAACCGACTGGAATTTTATTGCATGGACCCTTTTGTGTCCGTTATAAACAATTCTCTGGTTGTTTCAGGTCTTGAAATTGGTCGCACGGTACCATCAATAAATTTCCAACAATTTGTTAAAGGAGCGCCCTTAGCGTGAATGGCAGCTGCAAACTTTATTAGGTTGGCAGAGGACAAATGTGGCTGCTTAAAGCGGGTAAGAAGAAACCCCCATCTATCGTTTACAAGCTTCATCGTGTGATTGAATATGATGCACATCTCCGGTATTGGTCTGGCAAAACGGGGAACCATGTCCAAATATCTGCATGGATATGCAAACCTTTTCAGCAATAAACACAAGCCCTCTTCTGCATCTACTTCGAGTCTATTGTACATAGTAAGCTCTCGAGGCAATTGAAGTACGTTTATTAATCTATAAATGTCTTCCTTTAAAAACCTGAATTCAGCTTTGCATTCGTCATTTGATAAGTTTTCCAGGTCGAATTGATCATACTGCCAGTAGGGGATTTCCAAATTTCTAGGCCTATTTACATCATAAAGGAATGCGAATTCTACATCATTGATATATCCCAAATTATGCGCGAATTGTAAAGCATTTACTACTTCCTGATTATTTGGCATCGTTGTTTTTTGACAAAACAGAATAGAAAGTATCGATCGTGCTGAAATTCCTAAAGAAATAAATTTTCCCGGGCAAAGTTAAAACTTGCCCCTGTTGCTGGCGGCGCGATTTTGCTTAATCGAGTTTGTCTCACAACGGAAACGGAAGCGCTAGCTGTCTGACCTCGTGACCCGTAACGTTATCGTCATTGTTACCGTTCTGGCTGGGTAAAGTCCCGACTAGCAACAGAATCAAAACTTAAGCCTAGCGCACACTGGCGATTTTCGTCGCCAGCGACGGCGACTTTTGTCGCCAGCGACGGCGATTTTTGTATTTTGTATATTTAGGTTCTCGACGTTTTATAAATGCGGCAAGATGCTTGTGAAAGATCTTGTCGACATGAAGTATGGATTTATAGAATACGTATTTGGATTTATGGAATCGCGCGTGATGATTTATTGATTGTGCGTTACTATAGTATAGTTTGAATGGACAGTGCTTGTTAATTCCTTCGCGGGGCCCCTTATTAATTCTAAAACTAAATCCCTATCTCAGGAAAAACAATTTGGGCTTTCGGTGCATCAGCCCTTGTATTGCCTGAGCAATGACGTAATTTATGGTCGGTGTTTGATTTCAGGGAAAAAACTATCTCAGTTTTTTAACCTGCCAATCAGACTGATACACCTGTCACGCAGTGAATACTGTGTGAGAACTAGCTGGAAGAGAGGGAGAAGGAAGTGTAATAGGGGCAGGTAGAGAAAAAACTAAAGAGAGGGGTGGGACTGGGAGGGGGAAACAACGCATACAACGTGGCGTGAGCCACGTGCTGTGTAATGGCCTGCAACTGGATATGCTAGGGCACTGCCTTGCAATGGCACCATGATGTAATTTGCATAATAATAGGTTGCTAACTGTAATTGACAGCCTTGAAAGGATGAACGTGCATACTGACATGCCCATTGAGAGAGGATGTGTGCCTTCCCCGCGGGTATTAACTCGAATTAACTGATTAATTCCCATTTAATTCCTTCGCGGGGCCCCTTTTTAATTCTAAAACTAAATCCCTATCTCAGGAAAAACAATTTGGGCTTTCGGTGCATCAGCCCTTGTATTGCCTGAGCAATGACGTAATTTATGGTCGGTGTTTGATTTCAGGGAAAAAACTATCTCAGTTTTTTAACCCGCCACAAAACATGATAATGTTTACCCATCAAACACAGACCTAAGAACCCCTTGAATGATAAAAATCTTAGAAAAACTAGACTCTTCCCTAGTTAAAAAGGGAGGGGAAAGCAAAGAGTGAGACAAAAGAGAAGGTTAAGGTAGAAGGTTGCTGTTATACCATGTGAATTTGCATAGCCACAGCAAATCACTTGCCATTATTAAGTAAGTTTGCATAGCAACAGCAAACTACTTTGCATATACCTTGTGAATTTGCATTGCCACAGCAAATCACTTGCCATTATTAAGTAAGTTTGCATAGCAACAGTAAACTACTTTGCATATACCTTGTGAATTTGCATTGCCACAGCAAATCACTTGCCATTATTAAGTAAGTTTGCATAGCAACAGCAAACTACTTTGCATATACCTTGTGAATTTGCATTGCCACAGCAAATCACTTGCCATTATTAAGTAAGTTTGCATAACCACAGTAAACTACTGTGCATATACCTTGTGAATTTGCATTGCACAGCAAATCACTTGCCATTATTAAGTAAGTTTGCATAGCAACAGCAAACTACTGTGCATATACACTTACGTTCAAAAAGTATTGGGACACACTTCGAAACTTCGAAGACATTTTATGCAACAAATTTGGAAAGACTTTTTTAAAATCCTTCTCATTAAAAAAGTACGGCAGCTATTTCCATGAAATTTTCACAAGACATTGTTGATATTTTGAAGCCTTTTATGTACGCCAAAAAATTAAAAAATCATCGACCATAAAATTTCTATAGGTCTCGAGACGAAAACATGGAAGCTCTGAAAACTCAAGAACTGAGTTAAGAGAAGCGTATACAAATTGCTTTCTACTAAAATAAAGCAAATGGATTTCACGATATTGCATCAATTGTCGGCTGCTCATTGAGTGCAGCTTTTCTGCTGTGTAAAAAGTTTTTCGGTACAAGAACAGTAAAAAATTTACCAAGGGTTGGCAGACCGAAGAAGTTTACGACGCCGAGGGACGACAGTTCTTTACTGAGGGAACTGCGAAGTAATAGGTTTGAATCCTTACCAGACATCATGTTGTCATGTAAAAAGAAGCTAAATAATGGAACATACGCAAAAATATGGCTATAAAGTTATGAAAAATACAAATTTTCCAGCGTTATAAGAAAAACAAATGCTCTCTCAAAGTTAAAATTAATCATCGACGATGAGTTCAATGGCTTCTCCTTGAATGTTACGCAATTTTAAAAGTAGCTTGAATAAATGCAATAATTTAATAAAATTGTAGCATTTTCGTCGATGAAGTAAACTTTTTTTGAAGCTTAAAAGTTTGATTTTATAATTTCTTTGATAATTTTTTTTGTTATGCAAACGTGAAATTAAAAAGTTGTATTTGTTTGGACAGCTCTAAAATTTTTGGAAGGTCATGTGACTTTGCCATTGTTAGGCCATACAACCCTTCTGCATATTTTGTTGTTATAATCAGGAAAATCGAAAGAATTCTTTGTTTTTTTGGTTATGCTTCATAAGTTGAAGCATTTTCCTAACTTGTTATTCCATTTTGGGGAAAAGTAGGCCTAGATTATTTGTAGAAAGACTGCCCAAATCTGAAAAACTTTCCGTTGCAAAACCGAATCCAACGGAACGCCATAATTCGTTTATCGAATTCGTCCCAATACTTTTTGAACGTAAGTGTACCTTGTGAATTTGCATTGCCACAGCAAATCACTTGCCACTTGCCATTATTAAGTAAGTTTGCATAGCAACAGCAAACTACTTTGCATATACCTTGTGAATTTGCATTGCCACAGCAAATCACTTGCCATTATTAAGTAAGTTTGCATAGCAACAGTAAACTACTTTGCATATACCTTGTGAATTTGCATTGCCACAGCAAATCACTTGCCATTATTAAGTAAGTTTGCATAGCAACAGTAAACTACTTTGCATATACCTTGTGAATTTGCATTGCACAGCAAATCACTTGCCATTATTAAGTAAGTTTGCATAGCCACAGCAAACTACTTTGCATATACCTTGTGAATTTGCGTAACCACAGCAAGTCACTTGCCATTATTAAGTAAGTTTGCCTAACCACAGTAAACTACCTTGCATATACCTTGTGAATTTGCGTAACCACAGCAAGTCACTTGCCATTATTAAGTAAGTTTGCATAGCAACAGCAAACTACTTTGCATATACCTTGTGAATTTGCGTAACCACAGCAAGTCACTTGCCATTATTAAGTAAGTTTGCATAGCAACAGCAAACTACTTTGCATATACCTTGTGAATTTGCATTGCCACAGCAAATCACTTGCCATTATTAAGTAAGTTTGCATAGCAACAGTAAACTACTTTGCATATACCTTGTGAATTTGCATTGCCACAGCAAATCACTTGCCATTATTAAGTAAGTTTGCATAGCAACAGTAAACTACTTTGCATATACCTTGTGAATTTGCATTGCACAGCAAATCACTTGCCATTATTAAGTAAGTTTGCATAGCCACAGCAAACTACTTTGCATATACCTTGTGAATTTGCGTAACCACAGCAAGTCACTTGCCATTATTAAGTAAGTTTGCCTAACCACAGTAAACTACCTTGCATATACCTTGTGAATTTG